ATGAAACTAACATCTTCGTACCCGGCCCCCGAGCTGCGGCCTGGACACTTATGAAAGGCACAGGAAACCCAAATTGAGACATTTTGAGTATTTGAGGTGAAATTAAACTTGAAAATTATGTATTTCTTTTTCAGTGAAACGAGCAATAAATTCAAGTGCTCAGCCATCTCCTCCAACAAACACTACTTCAGGCGGCATCGACCCCACTCTCTGCCCAGTTTTCGCCAAGGAGAACAGCAAAAATATTATCCCGATTCGTTATCTGTTCTGTCATGGACCCAATTGCCCCTGCATGCGCATCTGCGTGGGRCAGGGTAGAAACAGGACAAATTTCCATGATTGCTCGACTTTTAGAATCATCTGTACATTTGACTGTACTGAATCTGATCAGAAGATAACCCCTCTTTCAACTACAAGTAGACCTAAAGTTTCTGGAAAGAGYACAAGTTCACAAAGAAAAAAMAGACCAAGTAAAARRAGAAAACTTCGAGGAAGRAARAAGAAAAGGGGTAATCAAGCAACTACTAGCATCACTCCCATGACAACTACAAGGAAGCCTGGAGTCACTGTAAAAAGCACAAAGTCACAAAGGAAAAACAGACGAGGTAGGAAGAAGAAAAAGGGAAATGCTCAAGTAACRACTAGCAACGCTCCACTTACCACCTCAAAACCTAAAAGRAAYGCAAAGAACACAGGCAAAACAAGAAAACTTAGAAGAAAGAAGAAAAAGGGGRGTAAAAAGAAGGGAAATAAAAAGAAAAAGTTGAAGAAAGGGCAGAAAAATGCRAAGAAACAAAAGAAAAATGGKTAGGGTAGGGACTAAAGGGGAAATGACATATTTGCATTGTTCTAAGGTGGAAAAACGTTTTTACAGCATTTTGCAGCTATATAGGACCAGATTATAATGTGAATTGAAAAGCAAAAGAAAGAAAATTTGAAAACCAAAACAAATAGTGCATTCATTCACAATCTGTGCAGCACTTACTTCCTTATTGTAGTAGTAATGCAGTAACAATGCTTCCTTGCTTCTAGATTTCCACTATCACCTCACCTTTGCTAATAAACATTGCTTGATTTTGCTTTAATAGTTTAATTCTCATTGGATTTTTGAATAGTAACTACACTTTCAATARCTGTAGACTACGAGCCCGGCAGATTTACATCTAAAGTTGATCTAGTTCAAGATTCATGATGAAAATTGCATGCCTTGAAAAAACAATTGTCCGTTTACTCTAGTCAACTGTACACAAAACTAACTTGTAATTTGGTACAAAGTGAAACACGAAGTAAAACAGCAGAAAAAATTGTCATTGAAAACYTGACATAAAATTAGCTGAAAGGTTTACTTTAAAAGTTTGTATGAAGATAGACGCAGTATTTAAAGATAAGAAAAATATTAAAAGACTAYTTCAGTTTTGAGTTGGTGTACATCATTTTAAAAGAAATATGAGATACAACACCAATAGATCAATCCTGCATTCGCTTGGATGAACATGAAACAATCACTTCATTTCGAGGCTGGAGTTTTCTGCAAAAGATAAAACTCCATCCTCGAAAGGAAGCCATTGTTCTGTGTTCATCCAAGMGAATGCGGGATTGGTAGGTAGTGTACATGTATTTGGGGACTAGGGTCAAAACATGATAGAAGACCAGCCTTTGTCAGTTCAACTACATGGCATATTGCTCAAGTGCTCTGACAAAAAATAGCATTCCATACACCTCACTATGTTAAACTTCTAGGCCATTTCAGGCTTCCTGTGCCCATACTAACACAGGAAACCCATGAATAGAAAGTTCAAAATTAAAGAAACATAATATTGTATCAAATCAATACCAACTTTACTTGATTTCAATGTTTTACAACGTTTTTATACAAGAAACTTTGCATAACGATGGAATCATAATCAGCACAAAGAATTTACAATCCAAGCTTGGTACGGCGCCAATGTCTTCTCTTTGCATTATATCTGATGAAAAAATGACACCATTGTTTTATGTAAATATGAAATTTACTCATTTG